CTTTTTCTCTGACAGCAGAAGCTTATTGGTCAACATGGGATCTGCATCTGTGTTGCTACCATCTAAATATGATAAAGCAGGTTTTCATACAGCTTGTAATCACTTTGGATGCAATAAAAAGAGGAATACGGAATCTTTTAGATTTCTGAGAGGTTAAAAGCTGCAAAAACGTGTTCTTGGAAACGACACGTAATGGTAGCAATAAAAAAAAGCTGGGACAAACTCCAGGATATCAGTATTTACCTTCAGTAAATACTCAAAACCTACAGATGATGCTTACTTTGAAAAACATGAATCATAACCCTGATCTCTCTTAAGAGAGGGCTGCTCAAAAAGACACTGAAGCTGTACTCGTGTTCACCTAGCAAAAAAATCTGAGAGAGTTTAAGGGATTCATTTCCTCACCCAGCTCCTCACCACACCCCGTGCTGGAGGCTCCTGTTTCAAGGCAGAGTCCGGGAGGAAACACACACTCACACCTCAGCTGCTCCACTGAGGAACCTGATCTCTCAGCTCAAATCCACCTTTGGGGATAATTTCAGTCAAGATGAGCTTGGCTGAGGTGTGGGCACCTGCTCCTCCACGATCACTCTGCTGCAAGGGTGTTGACCACCAGCAGAGATGGATAAGCAGCTAGGATGGAAATGCCTTAAAACTTTCCTGCAGTTCACCTGTCAAAACCCTGAGCAATGAATTGGAAAAAAACCTTAATAAAATGCAGTATACAGACTGTTCCTCAGAATGCTCACACAATTATATGCTAGAAAAGACAAACATCACTTTGGCTACAAAGATCACCAAGATAAAAACTTTTGGTTTATTTATAGTCTTGGTTAAATTAGCAACTTATTTTTGAAGCTGTATGACTGTGAGATATTGTCTGTTTGTCCTAAAATCTATAGCTAAAGTGCATTTTAATGAAGGGGTGGGTATTATTCTTCATCTTTGCCACTATGGCTAGAAGGCTGCAGGAACAGCGTGTTCACGGAGACGATGAGCCTCATGTGTGCATGTGGTGGTGCTCGTCTACTGCATGCAGCTGGAAGGTTACATACAGTACCTCGTTTCCTGTCCACATCTGTCCATTCATCTACACGAAGCATACAAAACAAAAAACATCAGTTCAAGAAGTAAGAACAAGAGTTTCAAGGAGAAGAAAAGAAAGAAATTAAAAGAAAACAAACCTAACTAATGGACTTTGTTTTTTTTTTCTCAGCAGCATTCAGCGTTTAACAAGAACCAACTCTTCTGTCACTTGACATCTTTCACTCCCAAGACAAAACCTTGCCCTGCCCCTGGAAAAAATCTGGTTGCTTGAACAGAGATAATTTTTTACCCTTGATTGAATTGTAGCATTTTCCACATTTAGCTTGGGAAGTTTTCAGTTGTTTTTCACACTTGAGCAATAGTTGAGGGAACAGTTTTCCACATTAACAAACACCTCAGCGTGGACAAAACCACACCTCAGGAAAATTAACACCTGATTTTTTGGAAGAGCAAATAACACGTGGGGATAAATTAGTACAGATGTAATTCTCCTGCTGAGACGTTCCACCAAGTAGGGCTAATTTAGCTGAAGCTCTAAACTCAGACCTCTGTGAACAGCAGTAACCTTCTGTCAGCTCCTTCTCTGCAGACACACAGGGATAATTAAGAGTCACACTGCCGCAGTGACACCGTTGCTGTTGTTTAGCACTTCATCATATTGGATAGGCAGGAGAGGGAAAAAGTGTAACAACCTCTTCAGTACCGAGTTAATACCGAGTTTATTTTTTATTACACAACACTAAAGCTTCCTGAAGCACATTCCCCACCCCACGAATTCTTGAGGAAGCTCAAGAATTTTTAACATCGAAGCAGTTTGAATTTATAAGTGTTAAACAAAGAGGTGCTCGGGTGTGAGCTGGAGTTTCCATACAGGCGTGTCAACACACAGGGCTCTGCTTTTACAGTGACTTTAACAAAATGAGAGACTGCCAGGTTTCTATAGAAGCTGAACAAGGGTTTCAGGAGCTATATTGATGTGAGTTGAAGTTTTGATTAATTGCACGTGCTTGTTCTGCATAGAACAAACAAATTAATTAATTAATTAATTAAAAAATTAATTAATTTTCCAGGAATATTATTCCTGGAAACTACTTCTGATTGCAAAGCAACCCGGTGTTCCTGACACAGCCCGGGACCGGGACTGAGCTGCCCAAACCCGGGGTTATTTTGATTCCAGAAGTGTATTTCTGAGGCTCTGACCTCTGGAACGAGCATGGAAACACTGAACCCACTTCAGCCTCTGTCTGCACGTATCTGACACCGGAGCTTCGCTGGGACCTTCGGGCGGTTCTCAGCACAGAACCGACACGGGGGATGATGAACCGAGACGGGACCACCCCACGCGGTTAACTCCTGCGGTGCAGCCCAGGAAGCGACTTGCCGAGACCGCCTTGGCCGGCAGCGCTCCTTCCCGAGCCCCCTCCCGGTAACGGCACCGCCTTTATCCCGGTACAGCGACCGGAGAACCAGCGCGGCGGAGCGAGCGGCCCGGCTCTGCCGGGGGAGGAGAGCCCAGCCCGGGGCAGCGGCACC